TCGTAGTTTTGAATCCAGAGTACATTTTAATCTCTCCAGTATGATGCGGCATAATATTTTGCTTGCTTTTGCTGGACAGGAGCATGATTGCGTGCCAGTTCTTGCAAAGACTTACGTCGTCCTTGTCTGAGAGTTTGACAAGGTGGCCCTTCTTCCAATCGATTGTAAGGTACCTTTCCTTCCTTAATTGCAAACCTTCTGCAGTAGTGGTGTGGGCATGTCCGCTGTTGTCTCTGCGTCTGTTTTTAGTGCTTCTAGCGGAATTCCATGTGATCCTGCTGCTTTCCCGGCGTTCAGCAACTTTATGGCATTCAGGACTTCTGCTTTTGTCAGAGAGCTTCTGTTCACTGGTAATTCTGTGGCTGCCGGTAGTATTCCTGGACGAGTTGCAGGTGGTGGTCGATTCAAGAGTTTTCTGAAGTGGTCAGCCCATTGTTTCCTTTGTTTTTTCTCTTTGATAACTAGGTTACCTTTACTATCTCTCATTGGTGTAATCTGCGTTGATCTCTCGCCTCCCAGACAGTAGTAACCTGGTTATTTGATGTAATGTTGTCAGGTCTCTCCTACCAGCAGCCCGTTCCACTTCACTTGCCAATGTGTCGTAGAAGTGACTTTTGTCTTTCCGCACTCTCTTCACTTTTTTGTCCAGTGTTTTATAAGTTGTAGTCAGTTCCCCTTTTTGTTGTTCATTCCTACACTGTACTGGTACCTCTGCTTTACCGTCTTCCCCTCCCTGCTCTATCAGCTTCCATGTACCCTTCGAGATCCATTGCTTGTCTTGACTCTTCTTCCTTTCTTACACGGTTATGCATGTTTCCTTCCACGTCTTTTTCAAAGAGTTCCAGTATTCTTCCATACAGGTTTCCTCGGGGATGTTGCCTGTCTCCCATTGTTCCTGATGGCTGACTGGCGTGATGTCCTTTGTAGTTTTTTCCTTCAGTTTCTGGTTGTTTAACTGTAGTCATCTACTTTGAAGGTTTTCAACTTGATTTTGAAGGAAGGTTCCTTGCACTAGATTGTGAGTGGTGTGAACCTACATCTGCTCCTCTTCTTGATATGATCTTGTGTCCAGTAGGCTGCGTCTCCACTTTCTTCAGATTGAGATGAAGTCGATCTGATTTTTAGTGTGTCCATCTGGTGTCTGGTGAAATCCATGTCGCTTTGTGGATATCCTTGTGCTTGTATACGCTAACTCGCCTCCAATCACCAAATCGTTGAATGCGCAGAAATCTGCAAAAACAGTTCTCCATTCTCACTCATCATTTCACCGAGTGCCTCTCGACTCCTGATGAGTTCTCTTCCTGTGTTGTCCACTCCCAGTTTGGCATTCATGTCACCCCACCCATTAGAATTTTGATGTCGTCATCTGGGGTGGAGTCTTGTCCGTTATTGATTGCAGTTGTCTGTAGAATTTCTCCTTCTTCTCTTCATCTGCATTATTTGTAGGTGCGTAGCGTAGCATTTTATGATTGTGACTTTTCTTCATTTCGAGTTGAATCTTGCTGTCATGATCCTGATGCTGGAGGAGATTGGTCCCCATTGCCTGAGAGCCTTCGATGCTGTTGGGGACATCATGATAGCCACTCCAAAACTCAATGTGCTCGTAATTGTTGTCTGGGTGACAATATCAGAGTGGATTATTGGCTCTGCAGTTGACAGTTTGGAGAGTCCACTTCCATTCTATCTGCTTTCGCAAATTCCTAACACTTCAATGCGATACCTTCTCATTTCTTTTTCAACCTGGGAAGCTTTGCTAGGTTCAAACACGGTGCGGGTATTCCATGTCCGTATGTTTACTTTAGGTTTCATCGAGGGAGAGAGAGAGGAAGACACATTGGTCAATTGGCTTCCCGAAAAAGGCTTTCAGTAACTGGCGTCATTTCATCTCCCCGATTCCAGCGAGGAATAGGTTTATGTCTTGTATTTACTCTGTGCTTTGGAGTTTCTTTAGTGGTTGGATTGGTTTTACGAGGTAGGGTTGCTAGACGTATGCCCAACCTTCCCTCTTTATCCGGGCTTAGAACCGGCTAGTAATCAGTGAACTAGTTAACTAGGCTGTGGTGTATTGACCAGATATTCACATTTCGCCAGATTCTGGAACGCAGGCACACTTATGGCTACGAGACACTAACTGCATTTCTCGACCTGAAGACGGCTTTGGACTCCGTCGATCGAGAGGTCATATGGCAGTGTCTCACTGAAAAGGGTGCTGAATAAGTCCATTACTGTTATAGGCTCCTTACTCGAACACCCACGGGTGTGTTAAAGCCTATGGTGATTTGTCAGACAAGCTGTGTACATCGAGTGGTGTCCGTCAACGTCGCCCTCTCTCTCCATTCTTATTCAGTTTCGTCATCAATATTCTTATGGTGGCCTCCCTCTCGTCATTTGTCCTCAGGAATAGCTCTAATCACTGAAGAATCCTTGTCAGATCTAGAATACACAGGTGACGGTTCTGTTAGGTGAAGATGCTGATAAGATCCAGAGTCTTTTGGACCCCCTGAATGGCAATTTGGGGATGTTTGGAATGTGTTTAACGCCGCCCAAATACAAACTGATTTTCCCGGGACAAGTCTTCAGTGATGCGCTCTCTATTAATAGAGACTAAAGGGTTCGAGTGCCCTAAACACTTCACTTACCCAGGAAGTTGGATCAACCCTTGTGGGTCAATGGCCGACGAAATCTCTGTACGGATGCAAGAAGCTAGGTCCGCTTTCGCCAACTTACGCTATCTGTGGCGCCGCTGCGATATTAGATTGCCTGTTAAGGGTTGAGTGTACTGTGTTGCAGCACTCTCTGTTTTACTATATGGCTGTGAAACATGACCATCAAATGTAGAGGACATGAGAAAGCTTCTGGTGTTGGACCGATGTTGCCTTCGTGGCGTAGGCTGTGCGTCGTCTTGTCACAGAAGTCAGGCGTAGAGTTTTAGGGAGAAGGGGGAGGTAAATAATACAGTTGTGAACCTTCATCGACTGAGATGATTGGGATATGCATTACGCATGTCTAGTCACCGTCTCACTCGTCACCCAATGTTAGCTGAAGTAGGTCAGGCCGAGAAAAGGTTCGGAGTGGACAGACTAAAACACTACTTCGCTGCATGAAATCTTTGACTTTTGGTTCGAACCATGTTAGGAGATGCAAACTAGCTGGTTAGGGTTCACGTGACAACAGTAATCAGTGGCTGGAGGCTCTAGACGATATGGCTCAGAATCGGTGTCAGCGTCGCACATGTATCTACCCATTATCTTCATCTCAACTGCTATACTAAATTCAACGTTTTCTCATTCTTCCTTCCTCTTTTTTATTGCTTTCTAATGCATTTGACCGATTTTTCACTCCCTTCATCTTTCATCCTACGGCTTTTTTACTTGTTCTCATGTGAAGTGTGGCAACTTGAACCGGTGCACTTCTGTGCAAGGTTCTACTTTGATTTTTGTCTCTGGGTCCCGACATTTATTAATTCCTTAAGAATGAATATATACTACTGCAAATTGCAATTTGTCGAACAGATAAATGTTGTGTAAGACTGTATTTTGTACCATCTCCCTGTCAGTTGGTTATGTAACTGTTGTACAGCACACTCTTTACGCGTCTATACACCTCCATACATAATATCACCTCAAATTTACATTTCCTGTAGCGTATTTAGCCACAAAGAATATTCTTTCGTGGTAGCTTTTTATTGTAATTTTAGAAAATACTGAAAATGTATGTAAACTGAGTCTACATTATTATATTCCTTACTGAATGGTAATCAGTCATCTTTTATCTTTCGAGTATCTTGAAAAGTATTTTTAAATAGGCTTCCTCTTTTCAATAGAAAAAGTAAATAGTTATGGATAAAATAGTAACTAACATTATTGTATAACGACCAAAGTCGCCACACCTAACGAACACATCAAGATGGCATTAAAAACAAAAATGGAGCTAATATGAGTAGTCTTTGAAATCCCCAGGACAGACAGGAAAGGCGGTAAATAAGATGGGAGTATATAGTATTACGATTTAGATAAAGATAATACGTGAATACATCTGTATTACTGCTGTCAATTTTGACCCATATCACCTAGTGTTTCCAGCTATCTGTTTTGGCTGCTTTGCCAAATTATATTTTACACTTCAACTAGACATTGGCTCAACATGCGTAATATGCATCTCAGCTAATTCAGTTGAAAAGTTTAATTCTCTTTGTTCCGAACTGCTGCGTTGTTCATATAGTGGTTTCCCCACATGCTTAGACAGTGGTACTCTCAAACGCTACACTTTTGGTCATTGTTTTTTACTGTCTTCTTCGGATACAGGAAGCATCGTTATATCGTAAACGAAAAGAGGTGGTTCAACTTTTCAGGTTATTGCAACTGTTAATGCATTTGACCTATTCTCATCCTCTTAGTATAGCTTCGAATGCCATTTAGAACAGACGCATCTTCACTATATCAACTGCACATTCTGAGTCACTTGCTGATTTTGTGATAAGGAGGGTTTATCTGTATGAAATAAGAGATGGGATGTTGTGTGTCTGATGGTTGCTACTGGACGCAGAATCGTGAGATATACCTTAGGTTCTGTCAATACTGCAAATGTTTGACTATGGGTTTCATGTAAGCTGATTTTCTTCCCATTTGCTCTTTCTAGTGATTAATATTATCATTAAACCACTCAATCTACGGCATCAAATGTCATCTTCAGGTCAGCAAAATATAACAAGCATTGGGATATGTTAACCATCTAAAAAATATTTTGGTGCACTTGGCAAAACTCTGTGTTTTTCTGCTGATAATTTACGTCAGTTATTGTCCTGAGAAATAACTTTGTTTGCTTAACAAGTCAATGGAATAAGGATCTCATCTATACCTTCATACCATCGTTTTACATCCAAACTCTAAACGATTCATCCCTCTTGGTCACTTATTTGGGTTTCAAAATGTTACTTTTACTTTCTGTTAGATTAACAGTTTTCAGTTAAACTATCACTTTCTATTTACCCTTATTTCCAGATGCTGCCCTTGGTTGAAAGAACCGCTGAAAGTGTCGGTGAGTACTCTTACTGCCGTAAATGGAACGGTGGAGTGTTCACAAACTCGTCCAGTGTGTTTCACAATCAAGTGAGGCTACCTGACTTGGTGGTTTTTCTTAGCACATGCAATTCTATCTCCAGGTCACACCCTGCTGTACGAGATGCTGCAAAAATGCTTATTCCAAGTGTGGGCATTGTTGATACAAATTCAGATCCTAGGTTAGTTAGTTACCCTGTTCCTGGAAACGATGACAGCCCTACCTCTGTTCGTTTGTTTTGTGCATTGTTCTCTGAAGCTATAGCAAGAGGTAAAACAAGTGCTTCTCGAGACAATCCTTTGAAGCAGGAATCGACCCAACAGTCTGCATCGTCTGAAACACTTCAAACAGCAATATCAGCGCAAACTTAATGTGTTAGTTTCTTTCCAAAGTTTCATGTATATACCGTGACCTCAATTTTAAACTTTTCATTAAAATATTCCCCTTCCTTCCTGTGCATTTTCTCCACTAAATCCTTATAATATCTTCCTAGTAGGAGCAACTTTCATCAATATGTAAACCTTCACAAGAGTCCTGGAATAACTGCGTCGAAATCAAGTACTCATATTTCACGTCAGCTGACTAAGAGTCACTAAACTCACACGAGCATGAGAAAGCCGTGAAACTACTCAGAAGTATTGACTACATTCCAAAATAGTACAAAGAAATCCTCAATTCAGTATGACAGTTAAGATGAGGTTAATGTGTGAATACAATTGTGCCACTGAGATTGATTTTGACGTATATCACCTAGAGCTACCAACTACTGATTTCCATCGTCACATGGACCCGAACCGAGAAGTCTACGTTGCCCTACATGGCTCAGACCAACAGTCAAAGATTTCATGCAGTGATGCCTTGTTTTAGTGTGATTGCTCCTAACATTGCATGACAGGGTAGAGGATGACTAGACCTGCGTAACACATGTTTTGACCATTTTAGTCGATAAAGCTTCACAACCTTACCAATCAACTTGACTGTCTTGCCTAATACCCTTCGTCTGTCTTCAATACTGCTCACATGGTGACTCCACCAAACGCGAGGAATGCTACGAAGACACCTATGATCAAACATCTGTAACTACTTCATTTCTTCTATTTTTAACGACTATGTCTCACAGGCGTACTAATGAACAGAAAGAGCTGCAACGCAGTATACTCGTCCTTTGATAAACAGTCGGACATCTCACACGTGACGCAAGTTGCCAGATGCCAAACACACCTTCCGCATCCAAGCCGAGACTTCGTCAAGAACCAGCTCGTTCGGCGAACTGCAGGAAGTTCGTTACGTTTTTAGGAAGTGCACTCTCGTGTCATTAGTCAGTAAGTAGTATGTTGTGGAGTGATAGATGATATGAAAGTGCGTACTTTCGCCTTTGCTGATCGTAGTAGCAAGATTGTTTTCGAGCGTTTTCGGTTTCTGCTGTGAATTGAATGGTATCAAGACACTTTATCAACATTTAAAGCCTCAAATTTGAGGCTTTGCAGAGTCGGTATGTTCCGGTCAATTGAATCTTTTCATGTTTGCACTTTCTCTTACTTGAAGTGCAAGCCAATTGTCTCGTTTGATGGATCAAAAAGTTCCAGTGTAGTTTGTGTGTCTAGACACTAGGTAATCTTCGATTTTTGATGTTTGATACACAATTTTATTGTTGGTGTTAATTTGCTGAGGCATACTAAAGATTACCAGATCACTGGGTTGATGTATTTCAACTTTCCACAGAAAATGATGTGCTTTAATTTGTAGCAGAAGAGTAAATGGTGGTTCATTAGTTAAAGCAAACCACTCAACTCGTTAATTTGTAAGCTGGTCACTATCGTTAGCATGTTATACTCAGGCCAAGAGACACCAGCTACAGGGTCTTATTCTGGTGATGCAGTGGCTTGAATGTGGCAGTAATGTCTTGTGTGTGTGGCTTTTCATATTGATTTTCCTAACAAATTGAGATATCAGTACCAACATTGGTGTTTCGACAAATTTGGTTGGTTTTTCCACAAGGGCGTATGTGATGAGTAGTCTTTAACCCTTACTGGAGCTCTTTTATGTGGGGAAGGGTATCATAATTAAAATGGGACCAGGCATTACTGCGTGACGTCCCAAGTTGCCACATCTCGTATCAGCACATCAAGCGAGACAACACTAAGATGAGAGATGAAGAAAAGGTGGAGGAAGTAGTCAAAAGTCGTAGAGAATTGTGGTAAGAAGACAAGGAGGAAAAGTAAAATACTGAATTCAGTATGACAGTTAAGATGAGGTTAATGTGTGAATACAATTGTGCCACTGAGATTGATTTTGACGTATATCACCTAGAGCTACCAACTACTGATTTCCATCGTCACATGGACCCGAACCGAGAAGTCTACGTTGCCCTACATGGCTCAGACCAACAGTCAAAGATTTCATGCAGTGATGCCTTGTTTTAGTGTGATTGCTCCTAACATTGCATGACAGGGTAGAGGATGACTAGACCTGCGTAACACATGTTTTGACCATTTTAGTCGATAAAGCTTCACAACTTTACCAATCAACTTGACTGTCTTGCCTAATACCCTTCGTCTGTCTTCAATACTGCTCACATGGTGACTCCACCAAACGCGAGGAATGCTACGAAGACACCTATGATCAAACATCTGTAACTACTTCATTTCTTCTATTTTTAACGACTATGTCTCACAGGCGTACTAATGAACAGAAAGAGCTGCAACGCAGTATACTCGTCCTTTGATAAACAGTCGGACATCTCACACGTGACGCAAGTTGCCAGATGCCAAACACACCTTCCGCATCCAAGCCGAGACTTCGTCAAGAACCAGCTCGTTCGGCGAACTGCAGGAAGTTCGTTACGTTTTTAGGAAGTGCACTCTCGTGTCATTAGTCAGTAAGTAGTATGTTGTGGAGTGATAGATGATATGAAAGTGCGTACTTTCGCCTTTGCTGATCGTAGTAGCAAGATTGTTTTCGAGCGTTTTCGGTTTCTGCTGTGAATTGAATGGTATCAAGACACTTTATCAACATTTAAAGCCTCAAATTTGAGGCTTTGCAGAGTCGGTATGTTCCGGTCAATTGAATCTTTTCATGTTTGCACTTTCTCTTACTTGAAGTGCAAGCCAATTGTCTCGTTTGATGGATCAAAAAGTTCCAGTGTAGTTTGTGTGTCTAGACACTAGGTAATCTTCGATTTTTGATGTTTGATACACAATTTTATTGTTGGTGTTAATTTGCTGAGGCATACTAAAGATTACCAGATCACTGGGTTGATGTATTTCAACTTTCCACAGAAAATGATGTGCTTTAATTTGTAGCAGAAGAGTAAATGGTGGTTCATTAGTTAAAGCAAACCACTCAACTCGTTAATTTGTAAGCTGGTCACTATCGTTAGCATGTTATACTCAGGCCAAGAGACACCAGCTACAGGGTCTTATTCTGGTGATGCAGTGGCTTGAATGTGGCAGTAATGTCTTGTGTGTGTGGCTTTTCATATTGATTTTCCTAACAAATTGAGATATCAGTACCAACATTGGTGTTTCGACAAATTTGGTTGGTTTTTTCACAAGGGCGTATGTGATGAGTAGTCTTTAACCCTTACTGGAGCTCTTTTATGTGGGGAAGGGTATCATAATTAAAATGGGACCAGGCATTACTGCGTGACGTCCCAAGTTGCCACATCTCGTATCAGCACATCAAGCGAGACAACACTAAGATGAGAGATGAAGAAAAGGTGGAGGAAGTAGTCAAAAGTCGTAGAGAATTGTGGTAAGAAGACAAGGAGGAAAAGTAAAATACTGAATTCAGTATGACAGTTAAGATGAGGTTAGTGTGTGAATACAATTGTGCCACTGAGATTGATTTTGACGTATATCACCTAGAGCTACCAACTACTGATTTCCATCGTCACATGGACCCGAACCGAGAAGTCTACGTTGCCCTACATGGCTCAGACCAACAGTCAAAGATTTCATGCAGTGATGCCTTGTTTTAGTGTGATTGCTCCTAACATTGCATGACAGGGTAGAGGATGACTAGACCTGCGTAACACATGTTTTGACCATTTTAGTCGATAAAGCTTCACAACTTTACCAATCAACTTGACTGTCTTGCCTAATACCCTTCGTCTGTCTTCAATACTGCTCACATGGTGACTCCACCAAACGCGAGGAATGCTACGAAGACACCTATGATCAAACATCTGTAACTACTTCATTTCTTCTATTTTTAACGACTATGTCTCACAGGCGTACTAATGAACAGAAAGAGCTGCAACGCAGTATACTCGTCCTTTGATAAACAGTCGGACATCTCACACGTGACGCAAGTTGCCAGATGCCAAACACACCTTCCGCATCCAAGCCGAGACTTCGTCAAGAACCAGCTCGTTCGGCGAACTGCAGGAAGTTCGTTACGTTTTTAGGAAGTGCACTCTCGTGTCATTAGTCAGTAAGTAGTATGTTGTGGAGTGATAGATGATATGAAAGTGCGTACTTTCGCCTTTGCTGATCGTAGTAGCAAGATTGTTTTCGAGCGTTTTCGGTTTCTGCTGTGAATTGAATGGTATCAAGACACTTTATCAACATTTAAAGCCTCAAATTTGAGGCTTTGCAGAGTCGGTATGTTCCGGTCAATTGAATCTTTTCATGTTTGCACTTTCTCTTACTTGAAGTGCAAGCCAATTGTCTCGTTTGATGGATCAAAAAGTTCCAGTGTAGTTTGTGTGTCTAGACACTAGGTAATCTTCGATTTTTGATGTTTGATACACAATTTTATTGTTGGTGTTAATTTGCTGAGGCATACTAAAGATTACCAGATCACTGGGTTGATGTATTTCAACTTTCCACAGAAAATGATGTGCTTTAATTTGTAGCAGAAGAGTAAATGGTGGTTCATTAGTTAAAGCAAACCACTCAACTCGTTAATTTGTAAGCTGGTCACTATCGTTAGCATGTTATACTCAGGCCAAGAGACACCAGCTACAGGGTCTTATTCTGGTGATGCAGTGGCTTGAATGTGGCAGTAATGTCTTGTGTGTGTGGCTTTTCATATTGATTTTCCTAACAAATTGAGATATCAGTACCAACATTGGTGTTTCGACAAATTTGGTTGGTTTTTCCACAAGGGCGTATGTGATGAGTAGTCTTTAACCCTTACTGGAGCTCTTTTATGTGGGGAAGGGTATCATAATTAAAATGGGACCAGGCATTACTGCGTGACGTCCCAAGTTGCCACATCTCGTATCAGCACATCAAGCGAGACAACACTAAGATGAGAGATGAAGAAAAGGTGGAGGAAGTAGTCAAAAGTCGTAGAGAATTGTGGTAAGAAGACAAGGAGGAAAAGTAAAATACTGAATTCAGTATGACAGTTAAGATGAGGTTAA